TATCCAATGTACACACCCCTATTATGAAACTAATTTATATCTTTTATATGAAAGCTATAACCAAATAGCCTAAGAAATGGGCGGAGGGAGGGGATTTGGAGGGATCACTTCTGAGGTTTATCTTATAGGGGTACAGGTGAATCTTTCTAAGAGTAGAATGTGAACGTTTTAAAACAGTAACTGAGAAAATGACATGAAGGCTATGTTGACCAGTTTGATGGAAGTATTTCAGATTGCATGTGAAAACCCCACACTGTACCCCAGAAGTGCACTAATGTACATAGTTACCATTCAATAAAAAATAAGAGAGAGAGAAAATAAATAAATAAATAAATAACACAGCATCATAGATGGAGACTGAAAGCCTAACTTTTGTTGGTTGTTGCTGCTGTTGAACTGCAAATTCTAGTGATGCTACTATGCTGCTTAGTTGTTATCCTGAACACATTATTTTCCACTATGTTTGTGGTATGTCATATTTTTTAATGTTAAGTACTAAAGTGTAAGTGTAAAAATGAGTGCTCATCAGTGGCATATAAATTGAGTCAGGAATGGTGGTAATGCCTAACAATCACAGATGGCCCACTTGCGGGGCTGAGATAGCAATACCTTTGCTTTCTGAAAGTTCAATATACACAACTTTGTTTCATACACAAAATGATTAAAAATATTATATAAAATTGCCTTCAGGCTATGTATAAGGTACATATAAAAATGAATTTCATGTTTATCCCATTCCCAAAATATATCTATGAAAATATTCTAAAATTCTAAAAAATCTCAAATCTGAAACATTTTGGATAAGGGATACTCAACCTGTATATTATGGGACAAACATATAAATGTACAAGGGGTGCTAAGAAAATGTATACACATTTTTTATACATTCTAAGAAAGGAAAAAATTACATTAAAATTGTAATACTCAGTATATACTGATAACACTTGTTATCCTGTATCCCATATTGTCTATCTCTTATAATTGTGGAAGTCAAACATGACTTGATTATTACAATTTTAATTCAAGTATTTTCCTTTCTTAAAATATGTATATATTTTAGGCATGCTCGATATTGCCCCTCAGAAATATAAAGTCTGTTACGGAAGACTGACCTTAAATAAACACGCTTTAGTCTTTTATTGGTGATTTCTCCATTACTTTTAAGTTCAAAGAACTTTTCCCAATACAGAAATTTTAAAAAATTGTTTTCCTTTATGTTGTTTCTGGAATTTGCTTAAATGGATAGCGGAAAACTCCAAATTGATTCTTCTATGAGCAACAAACTGATTAATTGACTCATCTTTCCCTTCTCTCAAGATTTTGAAGCTTCTTTGATCATATATTCCTTATATCTAATTGAGTTTATTTCCTAATCTCTCCTTCAAATTTCCCAGTAGCTCCTTAAGTTCCTTTTCACTAACTCTTTTATTTATAGTTCATTATAACTGCTATAATAAAGGCAATCTCCTTCACTTTCTTTTTTTTTTTTTGAGACAAAGTCTCACTTTGTCACCCTTGATAGAGTACTATGGTGTCACAGCTCACAGCAACCTCCAATTCTTGGGCTTAAGTGATTCTCTTACCTCAGCCTCCCGAGTAGCTGGGACTACAGGCGCCCTCCACAACACCTGGCTAGTTTTTGGTTGTAGTTGTCATTGTTGTTTGGCAGGCCCAGGCGGGCCTCAAACCTGCCAGCCTCAGTGTATGTAGTTGGCATCTTGCTCACTGAGCTACAGGCACTGAGCCATCCTTCATTTTCTTTTTGTACCAGTAATGAATAACAAATACACAACACAAAAACCATATTATCTAAACTTAATTTATTGTTTTCTTTAGTCCAGGTAACACTCTAAGAATTTTTATTGACTCATTGCCATCATTTTGAATATCCTTTTTTAAAAATTAACATGGAGGACCAGGGGCAGTGGCTCACGCCTATAATCCTAGCACTTGGGAGGCCAAGGCTGATGATTGCCTGAGCTCATAGAGACCAGCCTGAGCCAGAGCAAGACCCCATCTCTATAAATAGCTGGGCATTGTGGTGGATGCCTATAGTCCCAGCTACTTGGGAGGCTGAGGCAAGAGAATTGCTTAAGCCCAGGAGTTTGAGGTTGCTGTGAGCTATGACACCATGGCACTCTACCAAGGGTGAGTGAGACTCTGTCTCAAAAAAAAAAAAAAAAAATTAACATGGAAAAATGCTAGATATAGGATCCTGACAAATAAAATCCAAAGTAACAGAATATTTATTGGGTTTCTCTGAAATGAATACATGTACATGTATAAGACAGAAAAGGATCAAAGAATCATTGATGTAAATTTTCTGTAGTTTCAGATAGTACCTCTGAGTTTCTGATGATTGAAAATCTAATGAAAGCATCAGTGCCTGAGGATAAAATTCTAACTGTCATAAATAGCAAGCAGTTACAGAAACGTAATCTGGCTTTAAATAAAACCCAACAATTCAACATCTGTACCCTGTCAGCTGAAGAACAGAAGATTCTACAGTCCCTTAATCATCTCAATGAAAGGTTGCACTGTAAGTATGGAACAACTTCTGTAAGAAATATTGTATTTTGTACTTAGACAATTTTAATTTAAACTTTAATTTAAAAATTGAAAATAAAAATACAAAATTGTACAGATTATCAATTAATTTAGTACATAACATTGAGAATATATGTGAATATACATACTATTTCGAGTATACCATATCACTTCTGATATTTATTTTACAAATTTTTTTTTTAAGAGACAGAGTCTTACTTTGTCACCCTCAGTAGAGTGCCATAGAGTCACAGCTCACAGAAATCTCCAGCTGTTGGGCTTAGGCGATTCTCTTGCCTCAGCCTCCTGAGTAGCTGGACTACAGGCACCTGCCACAACGCCCGGCAATTTTTTTTGTTGTTGGTGCAGTTTGGCTGGGGCCAGGTTCGAACCTGCCACCCTCGGTTTATGGGGCCAGTGCCCTAGTCACTGAGCTGCAGGCTCCACCCAACTTCTGATATTTATGATGGTGCCAATATGTTTGACAAGCTTAACTCTCTTGTAGGAATATATGAATAGACTTTTGTTTTAGCAATGGACAGGCTAGGTATCTATACTGACCATCCACCAAAACAACCATAAATTTTTATAATTTTAAAAAGTTTAAATACTATGATGAGCAAGTAAAAAGGTAAGAAATTCTTTAGACCAAGAACTAAATCTAGATAAGAGGCCAAAAAGATAAAGAGTGCTACAGCTGTTTTTTTACTGAGCATATATAACTCATGGTGTGAAGTTGAACTTTGCTTTGCTTTTCCTGGCCTCACAGAAATAAAAGGGGGGAAGGAGACAAAACCTAAGGCCGACTCAAAATGAGCAATCTTACAGAAGAGCCTCCCATCATAGGGAGGATGTGCCACCCAAATAGCTAATGCCCTACACATATATTCACAGAAGGGGGGGGGGGGCAGAGAGAATTTTTTTTTTAAAGTTACATTTTTTGAACTTCATTATTGAGCAGATAATGGGAAAAAAATCATTCCTGAGAATTTAGAACCATAGTCTAGTAAAGTATCATACTAATTTGTAGCCATAATTAAATTACCTGAGTGGTCCTTAAAACCTCAAGCAATGAATTTAATTTAGAATGTACCTAAACAGGTACTATCCCAAAATACCTAGAAAAGCAAATTTATATCTCTTCTGGAGAAACTTACCTATATTCCAAGTCTCAAAGAATTATCACAAATGAAATCCAAGGAAAATGAGCAGCCCACAATAAAAAATTAAAATAAATTAAAATAAATAATGTAATCCATAAAGAGAAAAGGCACCATAAAAAATCAGAAGAAACCCCAAAACAGAATATAACTGTTTATATACTTTAAAGTAATCAGAAATAAGTTTAAAAATATAATCATACAGTAAGAAACTATAATGAATGAACAAGAATATTTGAAAAGGGGCCCAAATAGAATGACTGGAAATGGAAAATACAGTAATTGAAATTTAAAGTTCAGCAGATGGTTTAAACACCAGATTATAGACATCTAAAGAGAGAATTATTTAGTAGTTTATAAACTAGAATATGAATCAAAGAAACTTATTCAGAATAAAGTACAGAGAGAGAGATGAAAAATATGAAACAGCACTCAGAAGACACAGAGAAGTGATTGAAACAGTCTGAAAGGCCAGAGGTCATTATCTAAAGTGATCATGGCTGACAGTTTTCCCAATCTAATTAACAATACCAACCCACAGATTCAACAATTCAACACATTGCAAACATGGTAAATTAAAAATAAAAATCTCCACCAAGATACATCATAATGAATTTTAATCAGCAACAGAAAAGGCAGAAGACATTGAAAATATTGGAAGATGTTAAATAATATGTTCAACATGCTAAAGAGAGTAAATATGTAAAAGTGAAAATGTCTCTAAAGGATGAGCATAAATTAAAAATACGTTCAGATAAAAACTAAAAGACTTTGTTCTTTTTTTTTTTTTTTTGGCCAGGGCTGGGTTTGAACCCACCACCTCCAGTATATGGGGCCGGTGCCCTACTCCTAGCCACAGTTACCACCCTAAAAGACTTTGTTATACATAACAGCAGATTCCTACTAAACAAAATTCTAACAGATGCATTTCAGTAGACAGAAAATAATCTCAGATGGCCAGTCTGAGAGGGCAAATTTGAACAAACATTATATAAAACTAATAAATAAAGTAGCATATGTTCCAAAGAAAAAAATGTTAGAATTAAAATACCTATCAACATTAGTACATAAGTTGAGAGGACATAAATGGACCTATTTTTATATTGCTAAGGAATTGGGTAAAGATAGAGATTGAATTTTAATGTTGATAATTGAAATATACCTGTGGTAAGAAGTAGAAATATAAAATACAACTTCTGCACTGGTATATAAGGGAAAATGTCACAGAAAAAAATTTCAAATTAATTCAAAATAAAATAACAAAGTAGAAAAAATAGAAGTGATAAGAGATATAGAAACACTATGAGATGGACATACAAACATGTTTGCAATAAATGTAAATGGATTAAATGTTATGTTAAAATGCAGAGGTTGTCAAATTACAAATTATAACTATATTCTATTTATAAACAATATATTTAAATCATAGGTATATTAAAAAGTTGAAAACAAAAATGGTGGAAAATGCATACCAAGCAAATTCTAACAAAAGGAAAGTTGACTTTGGTATAATATTATCAGACAGAGCTTATTTACAGTGGAAAACATTATTAAACATAAGAGGTATGACTTTATGATAATCAAAGCTTTAATTCAAAATAAGTATATAGGCTCGGCACCTATAGCTCAACCGGCTAAGGCTCCAGCCACGTACACCTAAGGTGGCGGGTTCAAATCCCCAGCCTGGACCCGCCAAAACAACAATGACGGCTGCAACCAAAAAAAAATAGCCGGGCATTGTGGTGGGCGCCTGTGGTCCCAGATACTTGGGAGGTGGAGGCAGGAGACTCGCTTGAGCCCAGGAGTTGGAGGTTGCTGTGAGCTGTAATGCCACGGCACTCTACCCAGGGGGACAGCTTGAGGCTCTGTCTCAAAAAAAAAAAAAATAAGTATATAAAATGTTTTTATATGCATTTTAAAACAAATCCTCAAAATATGTAAAATATTTCTAATCATGGAGGAAGATCATAACATACCATTGTCAGTAATCATAGAATGGACAAAAACTTGAATACATATATAAAAATTAAATGTGGTTTAAAGGACAGGGCACAGTGGCTCACACCTATAATCCTAGCACTCTGGATCTCCTGAGCTCAAGTTCAAGACCAACCTGAGCTAGAGCAAGATCCCATCTAAAAGTAGCCAGCACTGTGGAGGGCACCTATAGTCCCAGCTACTCGGGAGGCTGAGGCAAGAGAATTACTTGAGCCCAAGAGTTTGGAGGTTGCTGTGAGCTATGACACCATCACACTCTACCAGAGGTGACAAAGTGAGATTCTCTCTTTAAAAAAAAAAAAAAAACAGAGACCAATAGTGCCTAGACCAGGACAGCAGAAAATCTCCCTTACTTTTCCACCACCTGGCCAATAACTATCAAGTAACAAAGCCAATCAGTAACAACCAATAGAAATCTTCTGCTGGGAGACAGCTAGAAGCAGAGAGAGAGATCCTTTCCATTTACACAAGAAAGCCAAAATCTGGGGGTAAGACAGGACATTGCAGGGGCCTGAGGGTGACCCTCCAAGATCACTACATAAGTACAAAATAAAATTTGATGAATTTGAAATGAGCAATGTACTGCAAGTAAGTATAACAACAACAAAGTCCAAATCCAGCTCAGATTTCTTAAGTTTTTGAACATCTATGCATGCACACTACACACACACGCACCAATAGCCTAGCAGAAGAAGTGGCATACCCATTTCCAGGTACAAATACTATTTACCTCAATGCTCACTATTCTAAAAAAGTTACAAGACACACAAAAAAAGCAAGAGAAAAAAAAACACAACAAACGAACAATCAATGAATGAGATGCAGAGATGACAAAGATGCTGGAACTATCATAGATAATTTAACAGTGTTGAAGGGTTATAGTTGGAAAGATGGACAACACTGGAGAGACAGACAACATGCATAAAAAGATGGAGAATTTCACAGTGAAATGAGAACTACAGAAAAGAGACAGATATGTAAGCAGTAAAAGCGCTATAACAGAAATGAAAAATGTTTTATATGTGCTCTTGAGTGACTACACAGTTAAGGAAACAACCAGTGAATTTGAAGATGGGTCAAGAGAAATTTTCTGAACTGAAAATTATCTTTTTAACCTAAGCTTTATGTAATTGTTTCTAATCAGATTGCTTCTATTTCTGGACCTAATATAAAAACTATTCGTGGAGTTGATGGAAAAAACGTCTCTTACTCAATCGTGAATATTTTGACGCATCAGAATTTAATACTTGATTCATTAGTCATTCTTCTCTTTCAATATATGTAACTAAATTATTTTTGTATTGTGGTATAATTATTTCAGATGTACAAGAAACCATTTGCAAAAATCCATCAATCAGAAATACTTTAAAAATAGTACCATTTCTGGTAAGTATTTTAAGAAACTCTTTTTACCTTGTTTTAGGAAACTTCATGATTTTATTATATATTATATAAACACAGGTAAGAGCTCTGTATTAATATTAATATTTCTTGAGATTGGTTTTTAGAGTTTTTCTCAACTTTTTTATTATAAGATGTTTTATTAGAATCAAGCAAATATCCTCTCATTAAAAATATTTTCAAAGGTCAGAATACAAATAATTTTATATCCAGAATATTTTATCAGTCATAAAAGGAGAAACACAGATCTTTTTAATAATAATTATATTTAGATGTGTAGCCTAATTGGGAAGTTTTAAAGACACATACTTTGGTAATGATCCATATCCACACTATGTCTTAAGAGTATAAAAACTAAACAGTATCATTCTGAATCTCTATGTTTTGCACTAGATTCTGGTAAAAATAAACATAACTGAAAAACACTCATTGTATTCAGGACTTTGCAATCTACTAGGAAGAAAAACATACACAGGGATAATAATACAAACAAATAAGACTATGTGAAGCACAATCTTAAGAAACCACAAAAGGAAGAAACTATCTGGCTGTAGCTGCTCAGGAGACAATTAAGTTTATAAAAAGAAAGATAGCTTTAAACTAAGATACTACCTATACTGTCACCATTCTCAATTTAAATGTTCAACAAAGAAATGGTTTTTTACAGCATTAACTAGATCCTCACCCAGTTGTGTTTCATCATATGCTCTCACTTCTGAAATCCTGACAGCAAAGTAGGTCACACAAGGACTTCCTGGGCTTCAAGGCCCTGCTGGGCTCTGGGCATAGCAGTAAAGAACACTGAGATAGAAGAACACTGAGAGAGAACACTAAGAGAGAAGAACACTGAGAGAGAACATCGAGAGAGAACACTGAGAGAGAAGAACACTGAGAAAGAACACCAAGAGAGAAGAACACTGAGAGAGAACACTAAGATAGAAGAACATTGAGAGAGAACACTGAGATAGAAGAACACTGAGAGAGAACACTGAGAGAGAACACTGAGATAGAAGAACATTGAGAGAAAAGAACACTGAGAGAGAAGAACACTGAGAGAGAACACTGAAAGAGAAGAACACTGAGAGAGAACATTGAGAGAGAAGAACACTCAGAAAGAACACTGAGAGAGAACACTGAGAGAGAACACTAAGAGAGAAGAACACTGAGAGAGAACACTGAGAGAGAAGAACACTCAGAAAGAACACTGAGAGAGAACACCGAGAGAGAAGAACACTGAGAGAGAACACCGAGAGAGAAGAACACTGAGAGAGAAGAACACTAAGATAGAAGAACATTGAGAGAGAACACTGATATAGAAGAACGCTGACAGAGAACACTGAGAGAGAACACCTAGAGAGAACAACACTGAGAGAGAACACTGAGAGGGAAGAACACTGAGAGAGAACACTGAGAGAAGAACACTGAGAGAGAACACAGAGAGAGAAGAACACTGAGAAAGAACACTGAGAGAGAAGAACACTGAGAGAGAACACAGAGAGAGAAGAACACTGAGAGAGAACACCGAGAGAGAAGAACACTGAGAACACTGACAGAGAAGAACACTGACAGAGAACACTGAGATAGAACACTGAGAGAGAACACCGAGAGAGAAGAACACTGAGGGAGAACACCGAGAGAAGAACTGCCCTCAGGAAGCTCATTACTCACATCTGGATACATGACTCCAAGAACAAAAGTGGCCTTTGGCATTTTTGATGCCCTGATTTTTAGACAACTTTTTGACAACAGTTACTTTAACTCCTGATAGATTGTTTTTGCTTGGATGCTTTTTACACACCAAATAGGTTTTTTTCTCATTTTTTCATCTCTACCAATTTAGTAATTTAAGTAATTTTTACAGTGATAATTTTTCTGTGCCTAAATTTTTCTACCAGTCTTCTATCAGCTACATTACTTTTGATGTTTATTATTCACTATGATGATTCTTATTTCACTTTAGTGAGATAATACCTGTAATGCCTAAGATCACTTTCTGTCCATTTCAACTCAACTTGAAAACAGTGTACAAGCCATAGACAACTGAGCATAAATAGTAAATACTAGTCAGTATAGGAAGTCATCTAATCAAAAAATTATACTGTTGTACACACTGGCACACTGCGTCATTACATAGCTAGAGTAACTATTATCTAAAAAGTGAATAGTATGGATTGGGGACCACTGGTAGGCTTGAAATCATTTTTATCTTACAACTTTCGTGTGCCTTTTTTTCATTTTTTTTTTTTCAGACAGTCTCATAGTCCTGGGCTGAGTGCCATAGTGTCATCATAACTCACAAAGTTGGTCTCAAGTGATCCTCTTGCCCAAGCCTCCAGAACAGCTGGGACTACAGGTGCCCACCACCATGCCCAGGGCTAATTTTTCTAGTTTTTGTAGTGATAGAGTGCTGTTCTTGCACAGGCTGGTCTCAAACTCCTAATCTCATGCAATCTACCTGCCTCGGCCTTCCAGAGTGCTAGGATTACAGGTGTGAGCCACCATGTCAGGCCTCTTTTTTACACTTTATGACAGTAGATAACCTTTAGCTTTCTCCAGTCTCTATTTCCAAATATATTATTCTCTCTCATTTTTAACAACATCATTTAACATAAGTCAGAATCTTCTTTATTTTCAGGGAAATGGTATAAAATTAAATTATTATTAACTGACCATTTAAACAATTGACATCAAAATTGCTCTGTGGCCATATCCTGTGTGGAGATTTAGATATTTTATCCTTGTGTTATTTTTCTTTTTTCTTTTGTTATTTTACTCTTCACTTGGATTCACCAATTCTTGATACTTTGCAATATTTCCTTTATCTGGGAAATGAATGGAGGGATGGATGGAGGGAATAGAGAAACAATCATATACACACAGAAACATACATTTTCATGAACTATTTCAAAGTAAATTGCAGACATCATGGTACTTCCACATACTTCAACATACACGTTCTATAAACAAAGACATTTCTCCTATATAACCACAATACCATTACCACACCAAAGAAATTTATACTGATACAGAATTGTTATCTGATACACATTCTATATTCAAAGTTTCCCAGTTATCTGAAAAAAATGTCTTCTGTGGCTATTTTTTCTCTGTTCTAGGATCCAATCCAGAATTATCCAATACCACTCCAACACATGCACACTTTTTTTGCTTATTTCCCCCATCCTGTTGTCCTTTGGGTTTCTTTTCCTTAACAGTACTTAGTCTTGTTGATTAGGGTTTCTCCTTAAGATGTTCATCATGAATTTTTAGAAATGATAAATGATTTTAAACATTTAGAACCTTTAAATTATTTAAAATCAATATCTGGAAAAATCAGTAATGAACTTGTAATAGTAGAATTTCACTCACTAACAGCCGGATGAGAGAACTATTCTGGCACAGGAGACCCTTCTCAGTGTCTCTCATAGCTCAGGAAATCGGCTGCCCTACCATGTCTTAAAGCAAGTGCAAGTCTTAAATTTCAGAAGAATTTTTAAAAAAATCTGCAACCCACCCTTTCCCACATCCCTTCATTAGGTACTCAAAATCATCTTAATGAAATACCATCTACCTCATAGAGTAAGTGTGAGGGTTACATAAGGTAATCATCCCACTGGTGCAGTGGGTTGTGCCTGTAATCCTAACACTCTGAGAGACTGAGGCAAGTGGATCTCTTGACTCAGGAGTTCAAGACCAGCCTGACCAAGAGCAAGACCCCATCTCTACTAAAAACAGAAAAATCAGCAAAGCATGGTGGTACATGCCTGTAATCCAGCTATTCAGGAGGCTGAGGCAAGAGGATCACTACATGATGCTATGATTGAGAGCTATGAGGCTATGGCACTCTACCCAGGGCCACAAAGTGAGACTCTGTCTCAGAAAAAATAAGAAGAAAAGATAATCATCCATGCAGAACTCTTAAAACAGTGTCTGTGACCTAGCACACACTGAATACATGCTAGGTCGCAGCAGCATTATTGGGACTGTTCTGATCGTATTTCTTTAAATTGTCCCCAAAATTTTAACACTTCCAAAAGTGCTTAAATTAAACTTACATGCAAAGCGTAACTTTCCCTTCTAAAAATTAGGAATTAATCTAAGAAACTTTTCATTCCCATCTTCCTCTCCTCTTGCTTACCACTACACAGTGAGTCTTACATTCCAGCCAAGCACATTTACTGTATTGCCCATGAAGTTTGTAATACTTTATTGCTTCTCCATATTTACTCATGATTTTCATATGTTCGTGCACATTAATATTTAGGTTTTGTTTACTCTACTTTCCAAATCTAACACATCTAAGCACCAACTTAATGTCACTCCATGAAGTCTTCCATAACCAACCCAATTTACAATGCTCTCACTTTCCTCTTATTACTCCAACATCTCAGATTTTGTACTTGTAGTCCACATTTTTGTTAGCTGTCTTTCTAAGTGAATAATCTTCATTGGAACTATAGTTGACCCTTGAACAATGTGCGAGTTAGGGATACCAACTCCCCATGTAGCAAAAAATTCATGTGTAACTTTTGACTCCCCTAAAACTTTAATAATAACCTACTATTGACTGGAATCTTTACCAATAACATAAACAGTCAATTAGCACATATATTATGTGTTATATATCTCATATACTATATTCTTACAATAAAGTAAGCTAGAAAAATAAAATGTTATTAAGAAAATCATAATGAAGAGAAAATATTGGTATTATTCATTACATGGAAATGGATCATCATGAAGTTCTTTGTCCTCTTTATCTTCATGTTGAGTAAGCTGAGGAGGAAAAAGAGGAGGAGGGGTTGGTCTTGCTCTCTCAGAGGTAGCAGCGGTGGGGGAAGTAAAAGGGGAAGCAGGAGAGGCAGCACACTCAGTGTAATAGTTGCTGGGAAAGCTCCACATCTAATTGAACCTGAGCACTTCAAATCTATGTTGTGTAAGGGTCTACTATATATTCTTGAGGCCTACATTGTTCTGTACTTACCTATATCTGCTGCATAGAAACTAACACATACTAAATACTTAGAGATTATTTGACTGTTTATGACTTTTTTTTGCAATTTTTGGCCGAGGCTGGATTTGAACCACCACTCCTGGTGTATGGGGCTAGCACCCTACTTGTTGAGCCACAGGCACCGCCCAGATTTTATGACTTTTTTATAGTTGGTCTTTGAATAGATAAATTATTTACCTTTTTCAGACTACAGTACAAATGTAGTGATTTATTTGAACTTGAAACTTTTTTTCTGATATGTCAAATCCACCAAAAAAATGCCTTTGTTTCTGAAGTTCTTCCAAAGCCCTTTAATGAGTGTTAATATTTAATAAATTAGTACTCTTTAATCACAACTGAACATTATTGAGATATAATTAGAAAGAAGAAACTTACTGGGTTCCTCCTATTAAAAAGTACTGTGCCAAATAGTTTTCCCTTATCTCTTATTTAATTCTCTTATTTAATCTTTATATTAAATAAACATTCTCTTACTTAATCTTCTTGAGCTATAGCCATCAAGTAATTTTCCTAAGGTCTCAGAGGTGTTCATTGTCGTCTTCTTCTTCTTTTATAACCTTATGTCAATTAATGGCTCCATCATCCACCAAATTTCCCAGACAGAAACATTTGCCTACCCAGGCTTCTTATTCTTCCGTACCCCTAGTCAATAAATCGTTGTAATTATACTTACTAAATACATCTCAAATCCATCTACCAGGCAGCACCTGTAGCTCAGTGGGTAGTGTGCCAGCCACATACACCTGGGCGAGCAGGTTCGATCCCAGCCCAGGCCAGCTAAACAACAGTGA